CCCAACTGTTGAAGGGAATTCAGGAACACTGCTGTGTCTAATTACACCACTTTCTCTTAAGTTCACACACTATTTTTGTTACTAGCTAATTGAGATTCATTACTTGAGCAGTTCTCCAATATTTTATGAAATTCAAGATAACTGATGAGGTTAGATATATGCTGCACCTTGCAATCAGGAAGGAAACTCGATCTCAGTTTTAGAGAGCAGGGGAAGGTGAAATGCCATTAAATGCTAAAGTTAGTTGCTATCCAACCCAAGGAGTCAGTCTCTGGAAGGAAAAAAAAAAAGACCTGTGTATATTTAGATTTCTAGTTTATCAGTTATTCTTTGTATCTAAAAGCTTAAACTGTTGATGGTGACACATCAACACCAGTGCCAAGTTCGAAATTAATACTGATATAGACCAGCAGCAATGAGGTGAGAATGACTTCAGAATCAAGTATCAAAAGCCATCACTGATCCTGGCTAAAAAAGTAACCTGTGAGAAGTAAAATAACTTCAAAACATTAAGAATCAACACAGGAAACTAAATGTGACACAAGCCCACTCGAGGTACTTTAAAATTAGAAGCTGATTTTCAGCATCAATGAGCATGGTTGTGTTTGTGCAGAAGCTCCTCCAATGGAGTCACCTGCCCCAGGAGGGGTTGGATGAATGGGTTTGTGATTTCCTGAAGGGCCACCATCATCTGAGCTGTTTGGCCACAAATCTCAGATGTTGCTGCCCACTTTACAGCCCAGCACCAGCCTGTCCTGGTTCCTTCAAAAGTCAGGAACTTCTGAGTGAACACTAATCCACCTCTTGATTCCCTTCTCCAGATAGCCTCTACTCCAGAAGGAGTAAAAACCTGATATGCTTTCTACATGTTATTTCTATTTCTACATCTATATAAGATATGACATACATTAAAAAAATATCAAACTATTAAAAAAAATGCTTCCAGCAATAGCCCTCAAATTTCTATATTCTTTGAAAGGGAGAACAACATTTCAGTTTTAAAACCTCCCAGGTTTGGCACTGTTTGCAATAAAGTTTGACTGAGGACCAGGATCTGTTTCCATTGTGCAAACCCAGCAGATAAACAACTGCCCTGGGTTGTCCAGGGCTGTCAGCAGTGCTGCCACCACACTCAGCAAAAACCACCTTGGGATCTGCAGAGTCAGACAATTTCCTCACGCCATGGGAAATTCTGCCTGTCTCTCACTTTTCTGTTTCTGTAACATGCCCTTGGTTTGTATTATTCTAGAATCATCTTTTTACTTTAAAGAAATCTCTGACATTCTTTGAATCTTGCCTGAATTTAAATTAGGCAATGAGGAAAATAAGATCTGTACAAAGAAAAGTGACATATACTAACAGTATGGCATAAATAATTTCAAAAATAATTGTACTTCAGCACCTTATTTTTCATATTTTAGTACATGATAAATAGTACTGCAAGGCTTAGGTAACTCACAGCACACATTCAGATAATATTATCTATTATTTCTACTTCAGATTATATGAATCTTGTAGTTTCACATTCCTTTAGTGAGGTCTTTTCAGATCTCTCTCTATTCCTTTGATGGGTGATGGAGAAATCCATATGTGCAGATCCATATGGCAATGAACCTTCCAAGCCAAACACAAGAACAGCAGCTTCTAGGAGAGGGTGGCTTGCCAAGACAAACAAGTTCTGCCAACATTTTAACACCACAGAAGGTCAGTTAGGTTATAATTAAACCTAATTACCATTCTCTAGAATTGCAACATCTTTTCACTTGAAGTCATCTAATGCTCAGAACAGGATGGATTTTTATTCTAGATTTTCCAAGAATCACATTAATGAGACAATGCAGTATTCCTTTTAAATCTGAATCATCACTTACCATCATAAAGGAAGAAGGCATGTCGTCATTAAAAGGAAGAGATTTGAGTACTTTATTTAGCCACTAATTCTTCATCACTCCTGCTTTTCCCTATTCCTCTGAAGTAATTGGGGTTTTTTTCTTCTGTTCAGTACCACTCTGGGGTTTTTCCATTATTTCACCTTTTTTTTTTTTTTTTTTTTTTTTTTTTTTTTTTTTAAACCCAGAGTTTTATAACCTTTCTGCTTCAGCTCCCTACTTTCAATCCTCTCTCTATCTTCAGATCTTCCTGTCTGCTCCTTGAGCAAGATGGGGATCTGACAGCAGTAACTTTTCTCTGCCAACTGCTGCCTTGGAAGAGAACTGTGCTGGGAACCACCTGAACTCATCTCACCAAGGAAAAGATGAGATAAAAATTGGTGAAGCAAAGACTTTTTTTTCTCTCCCTCTTTCCTTTTCCCACAGGCCAAGAGAAAGTGAGAGGGGGGAAAAAACAGGAGTAATTTGGCTGCTTTTCCTCCATCAGGAGCATAAACCTGCTCATGCTGAGCCTGGTTTCATTCAAATGAGCAAGGAGCTGGTGTGGGCTCTCAAAGTCACCCAGCTCACAGGGGAGACCCTTCAGCTCCTGGGGGCTGCAGTTTGAGCTGGCATCAGCTGCTGCTGCATGTGGCCATGCCATCTGCATGGTGAAAAAAGCCTCTCCCAGCTAGGATGGCCTTCCAATAAAATGACAATTTGATCCCTCTGGAGACTGGAAAGCATCAAGGACCATTTGTTTTTAGAATCTTGGAAAACTGGAAGACCTGCTCAGCTTGTGGCACGCTGTGCCAGCAGTGGGGACCCCAGCAGAGGGGCACAGGTTGGCAGTGCTGCCAAGGGGAGCCAGGGCCTCGGTGCAGCCCTTGGAATCTGGCTGCACTGCTGCAGGGCTGCACTGCTGCAGGGCTGCTCTGCAGGCAGCAGGAAGAGCAGGATGCAGTGAGCAGCCCTGCCCTGCACGCTGTGCCTGATTCCTGCCACCAATGCTCTCTTCATCAACTCCCTTCGACTGACAGCACGAGGCACAGCTTCGTACAGCTGCAAACAGTCCCTCAATAAATAACAATGACAGCTCCAGTTGGCACAAGGTACATTGAGTCCCACCTGTCCTGCAGGAGATGCACATGCCATCAGGCAGGTCAGATGCCACTCCACTTACCCACACTTCTGTCATGGAAGGCTTTTATTGTGGGTGGGGCAAAACACAAATCCACTCTTTTGTTTACCTCCAATTATATTAATTTCTTGCATCTGTAAGATTTACTTATCCTCCCACAGATTATTCATGCCTGCAGCCCTGCAAAAGCATGTAGACTGAAATCCTTCACCCACTCAATATGCTGGAGAGCTTGCAATGGGTTTCCAGAACCTGGATTTTGTCTCCCTTCCCCAGCTAGTCTTTTACTTCTTGGATTCATTTAAATCCAGTTATTTCTTTTGAAGTCTTACTGGGTTGAAAAAAAGGTCTGGGGTGTAAGAGGACTAAGCTGTTTTTCTATAGCTAATAATGGTTCAAGATGGTCCAGGCACATTTGGGGCTGGAATGGTGACTACAGCTATGTTTGCCTGACAGTTCAGCATCTTATGACTACCCCTGTTAAGTCTGCAAAATTCAAATTGTCTGTTGCTGTACATTTGGGGCTGGAATGGTGACTACGGCTGTTTGCCTGGCAGTTCAGTATCTTATGACTACCCCTGTTAAGTCTGCAAAATTCAAATTGTCTGTTGCTGAAATAATCCCTCACAACTTATTGCTGCACATACAACCCATAGACTCTGTATGACAAGACCAAATGACAGAGCTGGTTTTCTATTTCAGGGTAATTTGGTACAGGTTAAGTGAAACTCTAGAATCAAATTTGTTCAAATATTAGCTCAAATATAATTTCATATTCTCTCATGTAACAAGGCAAAAATCCATACAGATAACAGTGGAATAACAAGCAAAACCCTACAGCTTGTTCCTTTACTTTCCAAACCTGAAATGCATTATCTGGAGCTCCACCATTTACCAGAGCACACGTAGCAGAGAGCAGGCTGAGCGGATGGTTCAAAGCTAACTGTCAATCCATTTGCAGTTCAAAACAGTGGTGAACTGCTCCAGCTGTTTTCCAGCTCAAAAAATATGATTGTCATTTTGCTATCACTGCATGCTGAGGGTTATGTAACAAAAATGCACATGTCCCTCTGCCTGGAATGCAATTAATTTCCTCCCTCCCTACTGCGAGTGGTAAGTAACAATTCAGACAGTCTGGATGCTTCAGTTTTGAGCACAGGCAGGGATGCAACCCTGGATTAATTCCACGTGGTAACCCACTATTTGTAACATGCCAGTCTTCTGGAGGTCTTACAGCCAGGGTATATTTTGCAGTTTGGAAAAAAATAAACATTATCTTCCTGTTTGTACATGACCTCTTTACTGTCTGTGGGGTACCCTGAGTGCTTTGCTGCAGTCCTTTAGTTTAACCATAGATTTTGCTTTGTGCTGGAATTTTAAGTCTTCTAATAAGTGTGCTAACTGGGTGAAGGGATTGCTTCCAATCTGAAATCAGCCACTATACTTGCTGTACACTTCGGTATGCAAAAATCAGTCATTGTACATTATTAACTTTAAATAGTGGCAAAATCCCATCTTAATCTACAAATATCCAAACATTCTGCAGGTGGTTGAATTTAGACTGCAATGCTTAACCACTCCATGGAATTTGCTTATATAAAGAGAACAACTGGAAGTCCTTTGCCTAGAGCAGCACACTCAAAAACCAAAACTCATTTTCTCAACACAATCTTTTTTGCAATGTGCCTTTCATCTCTGTAAGCGCAGCTAAGCCCATGATATTTATACAACAACCATAAGATCTTCAGAACAGGAGCTGCCTTTCTACAAAATGTTTGCACCATACTTAACTTCTCTCTGCTGTTGCTGTAACAGAAACACAATGGGGTGATCAACTGTCCTCCAGGGTGTCAACTGAGATGAAACATTAACTCAGTACTTAACTGCAGCAATTTCCTTTAATGTGTTATTGCTTGGTACAGCTTGCTCTGGGTTACTGGTTTACAGCTTACTTCTCTAGGCAGCACCTGCAGAGGTTTTACTGTTCTTACCTGGTTAAATAGGCCAGAGCCCGCTCAGATCCTGATGGCTTTTTGGGGGGCTCCACCTTTTTAACGGGGATTCCAGCTTCCCTCATCAGCTGTTTCTCCTTCTTCTTGCGCTCTTTTTTTAATTTTCTTTCCAGTTTCCTCTTTTCCTCTGGAGTAAGTTCTTCCTCTTCCTCTGCAATAAGCTCTTCCTCTTCTTTTGTAGCCTGAAATAATTAACATTTAAATGAAGTGTTTATCCTTCTATAGGAAAGTGAACAAAATATGCACAAATGTAATTAAAGGGCACAGGTAATATTTAAAACTAGAAGGTTCAGGTTTCATATTTTTACTGCTCACTGTACTTCCCTCACGTCTCTGCTATGCCCAACTCCCAGGACTGAAAATGGTGCACTCAGGGAGATCTGTCAAACTGCCCTCCACAGATGGTGATACTGCTCTGAGAACTACAGGAACCTTCCATCTATGTATTAAACATCATTTCTAACACTTCTTGTGCTGTTTGTTCTCCCATACTCTATCCTGTGGAGGGGTGTGAACAGCAGAGGCTGTTTCACAGTGGATGGAGGGTTTGGATGATTTTTCAGCACACACACATTTCAGTGGGAGAAGTAACGTTTCCTGAGGATCCTCAGTTTGTGTTTGCTCTGTAACCACACACTTCCCTGGACTGAGAAAACCTCTGTCTGCCACGCAGAGGTTTCATCTCGATTATGCCAAGGGCAAAGATGTGACAACTTCCTCCTTTATCCAAGACCTCTTGGAGATCCTTTAGCAATCTTGAGGAAACATATGCACAATCTTCAATAAACATATACAGACACATATCTCACAAAGGTTGATATTTTTTTACGTTTGCAGACAGAACAGTTAATTATTCACATCTAAAACCATATTACTATAAATATATGCATCAGTATATCCCAAATGAAAATAAATATTTCACATACAGATGAAGAGCTTTAAATAGTTTATCTGACTATAAACACTGTGTTTATCCTGGAAAATCCAGTGTGAGATTATGCTGTGCAGAAATAAAATGCTGTTCCTTAGCAAGATGAGATTCATTCCAGGCATTCCCAGATGTCTGAGGGAGGTACTCGCCAGGTATGGTCCTCTGCTAGAGCCTGGGACACCCATGGAGGCCAACTGGGTGAGAAAGAAATGCTCTTCCTTCTCTCCCTGCTGCCCCCTCACCTGTTCAAGGAATCTGTAACTGGAACCTGAATGCATGAGAAGATCTACTGCTTTAGGGCAAGATTGGTTAAAACCATTTCATAAGTTCACAAATCTTTGGTGTTACACTAATTTGTGTCAGTCAAGGGCTTTCAAACACAAATCCAGACAAAGAGCTAAATAATGTTATTCTTGCTGACATTCAACCAAAGAATGTTAAACAAGGCAATACCTGAACACAATCTTATTTGCCAAAGACACCTGTTGGGGTTTAAACATTTGTTCAGTGTCAATTCACCTATCATCTAAGCTGACTCTGACTCATCTTTTCAACTTGGTGTTTTCACAGACCAAAGAAAGGTTAAGAAAGCAGAAATCAGAACTAATGGAAGTAGGACACTAAAGTGGAGTTGCTCTTTCTTGTTTAAAATACTTTTTAAGTACTTTTATGGAAAGGCCAGAATTCATTGCAAACACATGCAAAAAAGCAACATATGTTGCATTAGTATAGAAGACATTTTATAGTTCATGCTGAGAACAAAATAATATTTAGGGCGAAGGTAGAATTGAATTGTTACACAGAAAACAACGTTTTCATTTGAAAAGCCACCCTGGTACTTACTAAAATAACAATCCAGCCACACAAAGCCCTAGAAAACACTGAGGGTGGTCATTTATAAAGTGTTTGTAAAAGATTACTACAGCAGCTGTCCAACAGACGACACACTACAGTTAATCTTCTTTTAAAAATAATGTAATGAATTTGTTTACTTTTCTGTGAGCCATGAAGCTTTCAAATAAAGTGACTGTGGCACATCATTAGAGGCAGTCTGACAAAAAAGCCTCTGCTTCTTCATACTTACAGTAAATGCATATCTTGGTTACTTCCCTTCCCCCCCCCCCCCCCCCCCCCCCCCCTTCTCATAAAAAAACAATGCCTCAGGAATGCACTTGCTCTCTCTTTTGTTTATTCTCCCTCCCCCCCCCCCCCCCCACCACATTCCTTGCATTATCAAAAAGCTTTTTATCCTTCTCCCTGACTGCTCCATTAAAAACAAAACAAGTCGCTCCCTCTCTGTAGGTCCCAATGTAAATACCAAGCCCTAACAACGTTTGTTTCCAGCATGGACGGGCTGTGGGTGTCTGACACAGGAGCATTGTTCTCCTGCAGGGCTGTCCTGGCAGGAAAGGGTCGGGATTTACAGCTGGAGGCACCTTCTGCTGCCCCACAGCATCATCCAGGGAAACCTGGATACATCAGCCTCTGCCTGGGGCTCCCAGCACAGGTACTGACAGAGCCCTCACAACAGCTCAAACAACTTGTCCAGTTTCAAATATACTTTCATCCATCCAGGTCAACTTGGTTAATTTAGTATGATGTGCCACAGTCTGTCCTAGACTGGTTTTTAATTTGAAAACCTCAGGTTTTATGTGCTTCAGAAAATACCTGCATTTACTGCATAGTCCCTACTGAAGCTGAGGGTAATTTTATCAGAGAGAGTAATTTTATCACAATTTATATAAAAATTACCCCTTCTCCCAAACCTGGGGACTTGAAAGAAAACAAAACAAACCTTCCACTGGAATTTAAATCCTAGCTGTATTTATTATTTATTAATCTATTGGTGAGCCTCTCCTTTCCTTAAACCAACAGCCTGAGATTTTCATTTTGTTTTCCCCAAACCATTAGTGTGACTGTTCATCTGGAAGATGTTTGTGACCCATTTGGATTAAGAGTTTTAGTGTTATGTCATTATTTAAACTAAACAACCCCAACCAACAGGACTTCATTGTTTTGAGGTCATAAATATTCCAGGTTGTCTCCTTCTATATTTATAAAGTGACATCACAATTTGTAGCGCTACAATTTAGCCTTAACTACAACATTGTAAAGTCCCTATTTGAGCATGTGAGACACTTGTTTATTGACATGATAAATTTAAACCACATGCACACAGAAAAACAGCACTTGCTTATTTGCAAAGCCTGCTGAGAGCTACCACACCACCTTGGGTTGTGGGCTCATTAGATCTCAACCTAAACAAGGTCAGGCCAGGTCAGCACACTTGAATGAATGACATTCAGAGGAGAGCCAGTGTTTTCTGTGATTAAGGAGGTGGGAGTCTTCCACTTGTAAACTTTCCAGAAGGCCTGAAAAGGTGCTAAAAGGGATATTGCCACTGGATGCCATTTTTTGAGCGAAAGGCAGACCCCCAAATCTTTCACACTTACGCTCATAAAAGCCCATGTCAGCTTTGCACAGATATGAGCAAGCAAATTCCCAAAGTTTGTGTCATACCATGCCCATCTGCTGGCAAAGTGCTGTGGGTGCCAATACACTGCCTTTCATCAATGCCAGTCTCCAACTTTCTGAACTGTGTGTAAATATAGCGATATGCTCTAAATAGTCCAAGACATCTGACTCAAAATAGCTGGAGGCTTCAGCTGTATCACTTTTAGATACCAGTTAAAGTTTTCCATCATTCTTTGTAAGCTGGAAATATTGCACAAATTTGAAATATTTTATAAAGGATCCTTAGAAATGAGCTTACAATCATAAATGGGGAGCCAGCTCACACAGACAGGAAGTGTTTAATACTATAAAGCAGCCCTGCTAAGCAATACAGAACAGAGAAACCTAAGTAGAACTAGCTACTAGTTCTACTTAGAGAAACCAGCAAAAAGATGTACAGGTTCTCTTGAAGATACTTGAAGATTTTTTTTTTTGCTGCAATGAGAGTGGCAGACTAAGTAGAACTACAAGAGAAACCAGCAAAAAGATGTACAGGTTCTCTTGAAGATACTTGAAGATTTTTTTTTTTGCTGCAATGAGAGTGGCAGAACCAAACAGGTGTTGTTTTTTGAGGGCAGTTTTTGTACCTGCATAAAAGCTTGTACTGTCAGGGGAGTATGAACTGCAACAGCTGAGCAAGCAGCACCAAGAGGGGAATAACAGCACTAATAGCAGCACTAATAACAGCAAACTAATTGTGTTGTGCTTCCATAGAGCACTAAGTGCATTTTTAAATTTGCTTCCAGTCCTTGATGGCCTCACACTTAAGTAGAACTGAAGACATCTCCTAAAGACTTCTGTTCCTCCTCCTCATTCCCTCAAAATTCCCACATTTGCACCCCTGGCTGTCCATTGCCAGCACAGAATAATGTTGGCAGAGTCAGAAACTCTGAGGAACTGCCACAGTGAACAGAATACTCATCTATGACATGTTGCCTTTGGGATTCGTCTCTGTAGGTCTGAACTTCCTGCCTGATCAGAGTTTTGGCTTTGCTGCCAAACCCATAGAAGGAACCACAAACCAAGCCACAACACCAAATTCACTATTTATTAGAACCAGTGAATCCAGCTCCTCCAAAACCAATATCCTTTCACCCTTTTCTCCCAGCCCAGCACCAGAAGTCTGTACAACAGCAAAGCAAGCAACAGCAGAAATTCAAAGGAATAAATAACAGTGACAAACATATAAAAAGGGTGTCAAATTTTTGAACTCTGGGGAGTTCAAAATGGAGGGGAAATGGATTATATGGCTAATTTCATAGAAGGAGCATTGTATCACCTTGTTTGTTCATGAAGCTCATGTTATTTCATAATTTTTAACATAAAGAAATGTCAAAAGGGGCTTTGTTCACTGACCAAGAGCTACTGACACATCATGTAATGGCTTCTGCTTAGGAGCAGCCTTTGCCCCCCAAGTGCCCCGTGGATGATATCAGCATGCAAAACGTCCTGTTTCTGCCTCACACAATGCACATGAACCCAGATAAATAACTGGCCATCTGCCAGCCTAAAAACAAAAAGCGGAATCTATAAACACAGATCAAAACCCACAGAGAAGAAAGGCTGGCAGACCCTTAGACAAAAGGTTCATAAAAGAAAGATTGACAAATTATTTACTATCCAAGGCTGGCCAAAGAGTTGTGCTACAGCTACAGCTAGAGAATTTGCATAAAACAGTTCAAGGCCATACTGAATTTAAATAATTATTTTCTACCATTTAGCATTCCATGAAAAGAAGAGGTATGACCAGAGAGGGCACGTGAAATTTCATTATCATGCAGAAAGCAAATTTTAAATGAAAAGCAACATGTAGAAGTACTCTATACAATGTCTGTAGTGCTTACAGAGGAAGACTTTTTACAAGTGATATACTGCTCAAAGAAAAATACAATGTTTTTCGTAAAAGCTAGGTGTTTGTAGAATCTTAACTCCTCACAACAAAAACACTGGCAGTAATTTATATTAAGTTGATTAGGAAAGCTTTCTGTAGATTCAGCTCAGGCAGAGAAGCCTCAAACAAGTTCTGCAGGAAACCATATTGAAGTAGGAACAGCCTTTTTATCTTTCTGTTCCAGGAAAGGATTCTTTTTGTGGTCAGGTAAATGTTGGGATTTTGTTTGGTGGGTTTTTTTTTGTTGTTTTGTTGTTGTTTTTTTTTTTTTTTTTTAAGCCTCCGTGTGTATGCAGCTACAGTATCTCAGGAACACAAGTGATCAGGTAGCACCCTAAACTTGCAGCTGTAATTTAGAATAGATGCACCTTGATGAGCTTGAAACCTGGTTTAATTTACAACTGTGTGATCTTTGCATGTCTCAGATTTACAGCCAATTGTGAAGAGCACATAAAGTGTTATCATTAGCAACTGCTGAATAAGAAGAAATTGAACAATTTACTAAATTGCATGAAAGCATTTACAGGCACACAGAATACACAACTTAAAGAATGCAGCTTGTTGAATTCCACTTTATAGACTGTTACTCCTATAAAGTACATACTCCTGCGCTGTGACAGATTAAGTTCTGAGGCATAAATTAGGATCGTATTGTATTTCTCATTTTTCTCCACCAGTATCACAGCCCTGAGCACAACAGAAATACTTGAGACACCACCACAACTGCAGACCCGAGGAATGCAGTTTTGCTTCATTTGCAACTACAGTGAGGCCAGGAATTTTCACATATTTGCTGAAGGATTTTGCTTACTCCCCTACTCTTAATTAAGCACTGTTAAGCAATCAGGAGAAAATGGAACTGAAAAAAAAAAAAAAAAAAAAAAAAAAAAAAAAAAAAAAACCCCCCCGAAAAATTTTTCCCCCTCGGAAATCATTTGTATCCACATCCCTGTGGCTTACACACAGCCCTTTTAACCCCTCCCCAGAAACGCCGAGGAATTTCAATGGAAGGAGCACGAGACTGTCGCATTGCCACCAAAGTCGCCCCCTTTAGTGGTGCTGACAATTTCTTCTGAGGCTTAAAAAGGCTTTGGGCTGCGAGAGGAGGTAGAAGCAGAGCAGAGGCTGTTTTGAAATCCTTGCTGGAGAATTAGAAAAAAAATAAATAAACCAACCCCAAACCACGAGCTCGATCTCCTCCAATGAAAGAGGTACCACAGGGTGTAGGCAGGTTGCCAGGCGAGCTCGGCAGCGTGACCGCACTGCATTGAGTTTCTTTAATGAAAGCCAGGAAAGAACACATTACACAGTGTTTCTTCTGAGAGCCAGCGAGCCTCCAGTGATTGAAATCAATAAAAACAGTCGGCAAGGGGCCCAGTGGGGGAAGAGAGAAATCTCCACTACAGCATTCAGTTTGCTTTCCACTTTCTCCCTCCCCCTCTAAAGTTAAACTCCGAAGATCACCATGACAAGCTGCCTCGCTCCCAGCGCTGGGAAGACGCTGGTGGGGATTTAAAGGAAGCGAGCGCTTTCCTTCGCCTCCCTGCCTTCGCTCTCCCCCCAGCGCGAAGGAAATGAAAGGCTTGTTTGGAATTTGAATCCCGCCTGGAAAAAACTTCATTGGACAAGTGCATCGTTCTGCATTTCAGGAAAGGGATGGATTTTACGGTCAGAGAATGCTAAAAGGTGAGAGGGGGAAGAAAAGCAGGAATCTGATCCAGCCGGAGCCCACGGACAGGGTAGGATGTCCAAGCCGGACGGGACCTCTGGAGCTGCGGGACGGACTGCGAGCAAGTGCCTGAGATCATCCACATCCTGAGGCACCTGGAACGCTGGGAACACGTGACGGACACGCCAAGCCAGGTAAGCAGAAGCTGCTTTTGGCAGTCCCCTGTCCCGCGTCCGAAAGCGAGAGCCCCTTCTGCCCCAGCCTGCCCAGCCTGCCGCACGTCCGCCCTCGTTAACCTCGGGCGACTTAACGCTAAGCTTGTCCCGTCTGAGAACCGTGTCAGGCCACTAATCCTCACTGAACTATAAACCGTGCACAAAAGCCCTTTGTTTACCCGTTTTGTGTTAGGTTTGCGAGCTGACAAGGTAGGACAGGGCCATTGCGTAAGTGCAGCCCCCCCAGGAGCTGCCGCTCCACGCGGGCCCGCTCGGAGCAGGGCAGCGCGGCTGACACCGCACGCCGGGGCTGCCTGTGATCTGAGAGAGAGCCAGTAATGGATTTCTAATATGGTCCATATTTATCTATTTTATTTATGTATTTTAATCACCATAGCAGCCACATACAGAACATACTTGCGCCGAGTTCCATGTGCTGCTCTGCACCGCGACTCACAGCAGCGTGCATGCACGGGGGCTAGGCTGATTGTTTTGTCAAAAAGAACTTGGCAATTAGTTGTTAACACAGCCAAGGGGGATTTCTGGCACGTTGTTTAGGAACGACCGACACAGGTTTATGCAGCATGTGTGTATTTGCCGTTACCGTAATGCAAACGGGCTTTATCCCCAATAAAAATGGGGAAGGCACAGATAACAGCTGTAGATTACAACATTCTTCCCAAGTTTTTGGCCAACTTCAGATGATTTACTTAGACCTCAGTGGAGACACAGAGAGTGAAATCAAAGCCTGCCTTCTGCAAGGCAAGCAGAAATAATGATAGCTCCATCTCTTCTCCAGCAGAGGCAGGAATTCACTGGGACAGATAATAAATAGGTGCCTGTGGAGCAAGAGCAACAGTGCTTGTCCCCTTCACGCTGGTCATCGTGAGATGTTGACAGCAACACACATGCTCACTGCTGGAGAGCGACTGGATGCCTCCACTTAAATGTTTCAGAACCTCTTTATCCCCAGCCTGTAGGGTACAAAGTCTGAAGGTAGAGAGAAGAGACTCCAGCTCAGACAGAACGCATGAATTTAGTACAGCAAGTGCAGATGTGCATCTGCAGGTGCAGTGCTGCTCTTTCCTTGGGAAACACACACTTTTAAAGGGTCACTTTATTTGTTATTTATACTTTATATGTTATTTGCACGTCACACAGAAATGGATGACTCACCCACTTAAAGAATGACCTGGAGAACACCCCCATGACCAAAAGTAAATGCTGTAAGTTGAAGCATGAGCTGTTCCAATAAAGCTATAAAAATAGCTGAGGCAGTATTTAAATAGAAAGAAGTTTCTAGACTAATTTATTAACCGAGTTTTTATATTTTCACACAAATGGATCACAAAATTATAGCTGAAGGTGTAATTAAGGAACAATCATTTACAACAAAAAAGCAAAGTTATGATTCATAATAGAATAGGATCCTACATGAAGTTCTGGGCATACCCACAGACCCACAATTCATTCTGCAGAGTCAGTTCTCTCTTTTGCCTCCCCTGCACAGATCCTTTGCAGAAATGACAGCACCTTCATAGCTCAGGAATCAAAGCAATCATTCCCACACCAATCAACAAGTCTGCTTTGCACTGCTCTTGGAGCTAAATTTATCCTCATGCAGAGGAACTCATTAAGTCTTTATTTAACATTTCAGACAAGGAAAGCTTAGGTGGGACTTACACAACACATACTGCTTGTACTGACATTCTCAAGCTGAAGTGATATTCCTCCCCATTACTCCCTCAGCAAAAACAGAAATATTACCTTTAAAGTGTGGGAAATTTTGCTCATGATAATGCATTTTTTAGAAGCCAAGTGGCGTGAGTGACCACTCTTAATAGAATATCTTCTTTTCAAACACACAACATAGAAAGAAATGTATTTTCTCTATCAGAGGTTGTGATGAAATACAGATATTCTAGCAATCATACCAGGGTTTTTCAGGCCTGTCAATGTTATTAAAGCTGATCCTGTGCACAGTGACCTATCCTTCAGACTCTTCCTCTGGAAGATCTGGAAGAATCCCATGTGGCTTTGCTGGGTTGGGTACAAAAGAAAATAACTATTGGGAGTCAATTTTTCATGTTTCTGCCAGTCTTGGAGGTCCCATATCATCAGGAGTACTTTGTCCTTAACAATGAAACACATCTTTATCATAATCAACAGTTCCTATTAGTTCATGGCAATTGTCCTTACAGCAATGCTTGTTGGTGAAAGAGCTGTTTGAAAACAGTCCATAGGGTTTTGAAACAGTCAGAAAAGTAGATTAAAGTATTTTAAAGATGGAAGGACAAACACTTTAATGTCCCCCATTTAAGTCTTTATGAAGGAAAAGATCTGGGATTATAAAAAACAAGTTGAATGGCCATTCAAAAAATGCTGAAATTCAACAATAAAGGTGCAAACATCAGAGCCTGCTGAACACCTGGACAGCCTGTGTTCAGTGAAACAATATTCATGCCTGCACGGGGGGGAGAAGATCTTACCGTTCCTTTCAAATGAACATGATCTGACACTTCTTGAATATGGTAAAGCTTCAAGGTGTCTCCTTTCCTATTTATACCAGTGGTTCATGTTCACAGTGCTGGATTCACTCAGCTGAGTATATTTAGTTTGCTCAGTCTCAAATTGACAGCTTCTCTGTAATGTGCCCATTCTGACTTAAAAATGGAACATAATTAACATACAGCTGTAGAAGGTACATTTTTGCCATTTATGGGAAAGATTAGTGAAGCTGAAGATGAAATATTAAGTAGAAAAGAAATAGTTATTGATCCATAGGAAAGGTGGCTTTCCCTACAATTCATATGGGAATCCTTGTATTTGACTTAGGAAGACATTTTTGTTAAAAACAAGGTCAACAAAACCCATAAAAAACTTTGTACCTCCTTACCAACAAGCTGTCACTGTCTTCAGCTGCAGAGTTAACAGGATGTATAGCTACAGGCAGTGAATGTCCTGGGACATGCACACTACTCTCAAACCCTCCATATTCTCCCAGACCTAACAGAACATTTTTTCTTTAATTTCTTAATAAAAACCAGCAGATGCTTTAGTCAGTTATACCAAGATCTTCTTCAAAACCAAGCTAAATATTCCAGAATGTGTTTCATCCATACCTGCATTTAAATACACTCAGCTGCACACGTAGGCAGGAACATGCAACTTTCAATTTGTGATGAGTAAGACCCAAGAGAAGATATTCAGGAAAATGGAGGGGGCAGGATTCATTTCTTTAGCAGAATGTGATCATTCCATGATTCAGTCACCCTAAAATAGACACCCACAGCAGTGTTCCACACTTGGAACACAAGCAGCCTCTCAACTGTCCTGCACCTTCATCCCGAGCACGAGGGTATCAAAAACCTCAGCATAAGTCTTGCCTCTTGGTTTGCTTTAAAATCAGATAAATGGTTTGGGAGACAGAGAACTGGACCTTCAGTTTGGCTGAGAAAAGAGAGACACCTTTAAACAAAATAAGGAAGGAAGAAATGCGATGGGCATTACTGATTTTTGCATTTGACTTCCTGCCTAGTGATAACCAGAGGCGGATGATTGAGATTGTGACAGGTAATTTGTGTGAAATGATCCTTCTTCTAAATATATATAATATCTACTAAGAGACCTTTGAACACCTGTATGCAGGATTTGAAGATGTTTAAAGAAACAAGTACTACAAAACTGCCACTGAACATCTTGTTTTAAGAAGTTCTTCCTCAAGCAGAATGGTAAAGGAGGAATGTTTTTAAGAGCTGGCATGAATTACACAATCTAATTTTCCTTCAGGACTGTGTGCTGCTCTTCAAATCCCCATGAGCAAGTGCAAGTGGTACTCAACATGACTGGTAGGGAGAAAGAATTTGAATTTGTTTGTAAGTTTAAAATGGTCTCCTGAAAGTTCCTTAAGAAAATTCCATCCATAATTTTCAAAGTCTTTGAAAATAAAGTGCAACCCATTCCAAAATCCTATTTATTTAGCCATGCTCTACATGCTTTCTGTTCTTGTGAGCTGTCTGGTAACTATATATCTATGATAACAACTTTTAAGCTCTCCAAATTTATCACACAGCTGAAAATACTGAAATGACATCTGGTTTTTATAGCATCAGGTGTGCCTTCATTATGCGTTTGTGAGGCAGAGCAGAAAATTGAAAAACAATTATGATTTAGGAAGCTAAATTAAAACCTGTTGACTGTTTGTAAAAATGGTCCATAAAACCTGTTTGTATTCCAGCAGACCACACTAAAAAGTATCATTGTGAAAGCAGCACAAAACAAGGTGTTGGTAGTGTTTGCTTATTTTGGAATTAAGGCATCTAGAAAATTATACTAAAATAAATTTATATTAATTTGCATTTCGATAATAAGTAGCTTAAGCAGATTTATAAAGTAAGTACTAGAATTTACATGGACAGAATT